TAACAAAATCGTTACTTGATTTTTGTGTAGTTGTAGTAAGATCGTTGTAATATCATAACAATTTTATTACTAAAATCGTTATGGAATCTTAACAAAATCGTTACTAGATTTTTGTATTATAGTTACGATGTAGTAGCTATAAGGTAAAAATATTGTAGCATTATAAATCGCTACAAAATTTTTTCAGAATCATGGTTATCTTGAGATAACATTGTCACTATATTGTGACAGCATTGTTAAAAATTTATAAGTTTCTGTAAAGTTATTTTAAAATAACTGGTAAACTTAAATACTCATCTGACAAATATTTTAACAAATGTCTCTGTCAAATTGTTAGTTGTCAAAGTGGGTAAATATAAGTTTTATTATATTTATTTTAAAATAACTGGTGATCTTGAAAACTTATCTGACAAATATTTTATCATTGCTTCAGTAACATTGTTATTAAGTAAGTATAAGGTTTATTATATTTATTTTTTTAAATTATTGATCTTAAAATATGCATCTGAAAATATTTTAGCAAATCCCTCTGTCAAATTATTAGCAAGTAAGTATAGGCTTTATTGATTAATTTTAAAATTACTTGTGATTTTAAAAAATTCATTTGACAACTATTTTAACATCCGTTCAAACTATTAGCCCGTAAGTATAAGCTTTTTTTTTAAAAAAAAATTTTTATTTATGATTAAAAATATGCATCTAGCAAATATTTAACAAATTATCAATGAATAAGTAAAAGTTTTATTATATTTTTATTTTTTAAAATATTAGTAATCCTAAAATGTGCATCTGTCAAATATTTTAACAAATGCCTCAATCAAATTATTAGGGGGTAAGTATAAGCTTTATTATGCTTATTTTTTAAATTATTGATTATCTTAAATATGTATATTCTGATTTGATCATTTTTATTATTTCATTTATCTAACAATATATATTTTTAACTGAAGTTAATTTCATGGATTAATCGATTGGTGGTAGAACCTCCCAAGTTGTCATTTACTAGTCAATTATTAATGTTTGGTGAATTGATAATATTCTGTGCAGCTAACTTGCTTGGTGTGTTGAAATATCACTAATAATTTTATTTACATTCCAACTTTGCTCGCATTTTTCTTATATTTGCAAAATAAATTTAATTTTATTAAAATTAGATGTTTAAAATTATGTATTTAGAAGAATTTATTTTACAAAATAAAATTTATTAAGAAATAATTATAAATCTGCAGGTTAATACAGTTGACCCTCTCAAAACCGATCCCGTCAAAGCCGATAACCTTTCAAATCTGATAAAAAATTAATCTACCAAGTCCGTTCCCGTTATATAAATCTAATAGTTTGCTATTTTTTCAAATCTGATAAGCTCTTAAAACTGATTAAATGGTCCACACAAATTATTTACTAAAAATTTTAAAGTACTAAAATCCAAAAGTACATAACGTTAGCATTAAACATTGAAAATTGTTTTTTTTTTAAAAAAAAAAATAATCAATAACGTAAATAATATTTGGGAAGTAATGTATTCTTTAATTGTTGCACATTAGATGGCCACATGAAATTTTTATCAGTGATATAATTGGCTTCGTCCAATTGAAAACGAAGTGGGGAAGAATTAGTAATCATTAAAAATTGACGACCGATCTCAAACTTAATATATATTATGGTTCACTGGATACGATCAAAGTTTGTACCAGGATTTTTATTGCAATTCACACAAATTCCAATGCGAACCAACGCGAGCCTAATTACCTATAATGGTCGTTGGAATAGCAAATAAATAAGTACTGTAACAGTTTTTTTATGAAGCCTTAATTACCTACCACGGTCACTGAATTATCAAGTAAACGAGTAAGGTTCTTAATCAATTTTTTTGCAGAAATTCACAATTATACTAGCTATCTCACATATTATATATATCATATGTTATTTTATGTGTTATTTCACAATAACTTATAATAGAAATTACGATATTTCCAATGTTAACTGACTCAATCTCAACCACGTACTGTGATCACCAAAATAGTAAATTATGTTTTATAGTAATTCATGATAGAAATTATGATAATTTTAATTCAAACTAAAACTCAAAATAGCAGTTTTTGTAACAGAATATTTTTAATAATAACTCATGATAGAAATCATATTAGTTCGAATACAAATTAATTCAACCTTAACCACATACTGTGATTACTGTAATAGCGAATAAGCTTTGCAACAGAATTTTTTACAAAAATTCACGATAAAAATCATGATACGTAATTCTAACTCGAACACAAATAGGACACGAATAAGCTTTGTAACTGGATTTTTTACTGTAAATAATGGATAATTCTAATGCAGTTCTCAACCTTAACTACGTACGGTGTGTACAGCAATGCGGAAAATATCTTTATTTAGTAAATATTGAGATCTTTTGTTAATCGACATATCTAAGTAAGCTCGAGCCTATTGACGTTCTTAAACATCAACATACATGTAATTCCTAATGATCGAAATGGTACACAAGTATAGCATGATTTCAACTATTCTTATATCATTTAGATAAAATTCAAATAGTAAGAACGGTGGTATTATTGAAATAGCACCACTCTTGTTGTAATTTGCTAAGAATTGTAGCGGTGTTTGATTGGTACAATGAACCAAAATAGAAACCTCGATCAGTACCTGAGTATTTCATTTATAAGATGCTCAAGGGCAAAAGCTTGTTGACTAGAATAGTAAATTTACTGGGCATATTATATTGAAATTCTTTAATATAATAAACTAATGGTAAGCGCATTTGATCGATTAATAATATTTTGACACACCAATTGAAACATATTTGAATGCCCTCTTATGATACATTGTGTTTCATATTTAATTTATTTTAACTGCAGTAAACTTATTTGGTCAATAGACAGTGTATTTAATAGTTTCTATTTTTATTCGTGTTAATTTAATCAGCTCAGCAGTGTAAGATCTTTTACGATCGGTATACCCAAACAAACTATTTTAAAATAGTAGTTTAAGGGTATTCTCAAACAGATCTCTCAATATTATTTACAATGATCAAGGTGTTGCTCAAACCATTGGAACTACGGTGATTGGGTTGTTATGGCGGTTAATTGATGAACGATTTAGGTTGTTATAATTCGTTATGCCATTACGCAAAGTATGGATTTTAAATTTCAGAGTGACGATAATTTGCACCGTAACTCGCTTTGCTAGTTTATTCGATTATAATTATAATTTTGCTCTAATTAGTTCGATTAGTTGAGTAAGTGCTCAGGAACCCTGAAATTCTACTCGTTTTACATGATCGTATTGGTCCTGCGCGGCATCATATGAAGCAAGTGTTAAGAAAGATTATAATCTTCTAAGCAAGTTGTAATGGGCAATTAGCAGGTTTTCTAACATCCTAGCAAGTCGCAAGATAAGGTGATATTCCCCAAATTTTTTTTGATGAAATATAAAATTTTTGCTCAAACTTTGTTTATAGCTTCAGAATTACTACACATTGCTACCATTAATTTAAAATATCTAATTTCCATGATTTCAGTAAACTATTTCTCATTGATGTTAGAACAAACATGAATATGTTCTTTATCATTGTGATAGGCAAGTTGTTAAAATTTTCAATTTATCAACTATTCTCAAATAGTAAAATTAGTAATATAAAGAAAAATTAACTAATAAAATCTCTGAAAGCAAAAGGCTATTTATTATTCTTAAGTAGAGCTGCTAGTTCACTCTTTTTCTAAACCAGGACTAAGCACAAGTTTTTTTGATCAATTACTAGTACATTTATAAACAATTTAAAGTAAATTTGAAACCCAGTTTATGTGCTTGCTCCAAGACAGTGTTCAAGCGAGTTTAAACTAACCAGTTTAGCGAATAGTAACCTTTTCTTCATAAATAATTTAATATTAAAAATTTGGATAATTTGTTTAAATATATCAATTATTTAAAAATTGTATTCTCGTTAAAATAAAATACAAGCAAATGTAATAGTAAATATTATTGAAAAATAAGTACAAGTTCTGCGAATATGCTATGTGTGATTTTCTAATCACATCCTTGCATTATTCAATAAGATGCAAGATTTGTGGACTACATCACCTAATTCATAATATAACTATACCGACACATTCAAACATCTATTACTAATCCAATTGTAAATTCTTATAAGCAAAAAAATTGGATGTCGAAAGAGCAATTTATATGCAAAATGTTCTTTAAATTTAACTTTCAAGCAAACTCTAATTTAATCACTTCGTTTAAATATCCTTCTAAATATTGGAATTGAAAAATGTGTCGATAATATTGCCACACAGGCATAATGTGATTTCCGAAAACCACAAAGTTAATGAAGAAATAAATAAAAGGTCAAAAAAATTATCTACATCTGAAAATAGTATTGTCAGAGAACTTTCAAATGGAAAATTTGGTCTACTTATAACACATGTACGATCTGCCAGAAAAGCATTTTCACAAATCTGATGGTAAATTTCCTGCATGACTGCATAAAAGAAAATAAAAGATAAAAAAAATCAAAATAAAGAAACAATTTTCACTTTCTCTAATTCCTCGAAAGGCTTTATTAAATAAAATACTGTATGATAACACCAAAAAAAAAGATTAAATCAAATACCACCGTGAAGCCTGTATACTAAATGAATAGTCGATCCTTTTTGAATTTTATATTCAGAAAGAGTGTGGCCATTCTCTAATTGTTTGCTTGCAAAAATCAGTCGCATTTGATCTACTTGAACTACAGGCATACCCTCTTTTTCAGAAATCTTTACCACAAGATCCTCTACAAAATCTGAGGGTTTAACATCCAAAGTGATAGTTCTTCCCATAAGTAAGTTGACAAAAATTTGCATACTATGCTCAACTGTTTCAGAATAATTAGCATTTAAAATATCGTTCGTAAGACTGGTAATGCGATTCGCTGCTGTTATCTTCACTTCTTCAGGTTGAACAGAAACTGATTCACAAATAGGTTCATTATTTGAAATTCCAGTTATATTTTCATTTATCGTTATATTGTTATTTGAAATTCCAGCCATATATTCATTCATTATTATATTATTATTTGAAATATGCCTATTTACGTTAGATATAAGACGGCTGTAATAAAATGAATCAGGGTGCTTTATAGTTTGACATCGTTTAGTAGGTAAATCGCTATAAGAAAATTGAGAATAAGTAAATGCTGTTTTTTTTACTTCATCTATTGTGGGTCTTTTTCAGGATCAGCATCCCAACATCTTTGCATAAGTTCGGCATACTTCTTTGATGTTCCTCCTAAAATTTTGGGTCGATAACCTTCACAAATTTCAAGCTGCAGATAGATATCATGTTTTTGACCAAAAAAAGCCGGTTCACGTGAAGAAAGCTCCCACATAATTATTCCTAATGCGTAAATATCAGATTGTTTGCTGTAAGATTTACCACGAAGGAGTTCAGGAGCCATATATAGAACAACACCATATGTGCAATCAGTGGAGATAATATGTGCAGCGGGTTGTGCCAAGCCATAATATGCAATTATAGCAGTGTTTGCATCAAGTAAAAAAATATTTCCGCTATGTAAGTCACAGTGAATTATTCCAGCGTTGTGGATAACTTCAAGATCATTTACAATTGATTCTAGAATCTTGATAAGGCTATAATTTCCGTGCTTGTTAAGAGACTTTCGCAAGTCTCCATGCTCATAGTATGGCATAACAATGGCATATTCATTATTGTAAGGATTTTTTGTGAGGCCATAGATTTTTGCTCTACCAACTTGCTGAGTTTGACGAGTCTAAAATAAACAGAAAATTAATTAAATGGCTTAAAATGTACTTAAGTTTCATAATATAAACTTGCCTCTTTGAAAAGCTTTTCAATTACGTTTGATAAAGTCTTCAAAACAACAGTAACATGTGGATTTCTGCATGGTTCGTGCCAAAACATTTTATCAGTATCGGGTATTCGATAATATCGTCATTTTTCCATGTCGCAGTGTAAATTGCTCCGAATCCTCCTTTTGCGAGAAATTTTATATTTGTGAATTGTTCAGGTTCAACCCATTCAAGAAAGTCATAATAAGATGTTGCACATGTCTGACTACTATGAATGAAGGCGTCAATCAGGTCATTTTTACTAGATTTTGCGCATATTGGATCACTGTGGATGAAATCCTTAATATCGTTTTTACTATATTCCGATTTCTCAATGTCGAAACGATCATAGAATTTACCACAAAACGGCATTTGCATAACATATTTATTTATTGATTGCACTGTAGTTATCCACAATATCAATTTTTTTTTTAAAAAAAACTATATTACTGTGTCAAATGAAGATTTTGACCTATTATTCGAATTTCACCTGCTTTTTATATCCTGCTTCTTTTAAATTCTAATTTATCAACGGGATGCTATTTTGTGTAAGGATTTAAATATATTTTGTTATATGTTTCATTTTTTCCTTATACCAGGAACGTAGTACAACGTACAAAGTTTATGGTTCTACTCGTTCGTACACAAAATCTTGATTGTGATTGGATGTAGTAATCCGGTATTACAAATAATCGTATAGCTAATATCATGAAAAGACGTTGCGTAGGATACTAAAAAGGAAAAGCGTATAGTATACTTATATGTATGAAAATATTTTTTTAAAAAGGCATATAATATACATATATGTATAAAAATATTTGAAGTCGGTTATACTAGTTTGTATACTATTTTATACAGCCTATGAATTTTTGCGATGGCTTGTCCACGTGATATGCGATTATAATTGAGGTCGGGAGTTAACGTTAAAATATGTAGGTCATATTTATATAATCGATAAGAAAATTAATTTAATTGATTTAACTATGATGCAATCGATAAATTAATTAATAATGAGTAGCGAAAACAATAATTTTGAAGTATATAGATTTTATTCAAATCAATATACAGTACAATAAAATTAGGTAGCTGCGCGACGTCGTCACGCTAAAACCAGGAACGGGAGGGACGAGTGAATAAGTTTAATTGTAATATATATGTAAGGAAATAATAATAATAATAATTTTTCATTCAATGTTCTAAAACTTTATGAATTATTTTGGTATATGTATATTATGTACACAATTCATTTCTGTGATTTGTGTATGCATAGTAGTCGATAGTATAGAATAGTATATAAATCAAGACCTTGATTTGGAACTCTTAAATGTGAAAGGTATAAATATAAATAAAACACAACCTCTTTTCGGCTTCGATATGTTAAATAAAAGTAAATAAGTGTTGCATACCTAACATTTCTTAAAGATAATAATGGTTCATATTTATGTCTGTGACCCTGGGCATAGCAACATTCATTTCGTTGATTAAGTTTGGACGATTTTGCCTGATCTATCATTAATGTTGGTCAAAATAGATTGTTGATGAATATTACAAGAACCTTAACTATGTATGTACGTACATAAGCATGAGTTAATCATTAAAGCATTAAAAAATTATGATTAACATTTTTTTCATGATTTTTTATGGATAAGGGACAATCTATGCTAATATTTTGACACTGTGCAATTATTTGGCTGCTTTCTATATTTTGTAATTTTAATGGTGGGTGCATCCATTTTTTAAAAGTAGATGGTAAGTGACTTATTGCAGTTTGCAGAATTTTGTTAAACCAACAAAAAAATGCACACGCATTCACTAGGTATTTCTTAAGACTATTCCAATATGATAATTTTATATCAGATATTGGAGTTGTTTAGTGAAAGCAGAAATCACCTAATAATTAGCATTTTCTTTCTTTCTTTTTTGATTTACAAATTTGCAAATTGCTATGGTTAGTGATTTGCAATGATGGGATGATTGATGATTTACGTATGTTTTACCACAAAATCCTGAGTAACAGATTCCCAAAATACTTAATGCCGATAGAGTTAGCTGGCATTATTTATAATGCTGGCCAATTTAGTCGGTATTATGTTCTTTCGAGAAATGGCTTTCAGAATTTTGTGGTAGAGCTATTTCTGCATTCATGTAGTGGATTTCAGCTGATTTTAGTAGTAAGTGGATTAATTATTGCGGTTTACATAATTTGTGGCCCCATGATTATTAAATGATTGTGATCGCAAAGCCGACCAGTTTATCATAAATTTAAGCTAACACAAACTCAGATTCATGATAAATTTGCTGGCTTTAACATAACAATCGAGATCGCAATCACAATCATTTTATCATCAAAAATTAATCATAGGGGTCACAAAATTATGTAAACTGCAATAATTTAAACAGTGAATTTAATAATGGATGTTTAGTAATTTCAAAAATGGATTAGTGATTTCAACAGTGAGTTTACTGTTCCTTCAGCATATGGGCATAATGTTGTGATTATTAAATTCAAATCACTAAAATCAAAAATTCTGCCCATATGTGAGTTGTTTTTTGGTTACTTTACTCACGAACAGCGTATAAAAACTGATAAATAACTGATAAACAATTCATAAGTAATTTTACAATCATTGGTAAATATCACTTTTAATCTTAGTAATCACATTATATCATATATATTCTTATCTCAAACTCTATGTATTCTCATCATTCAACTTATCTAATCACAAAACTTGAAGATTTCCGCCTGCATGATAGATCAGTTAGTGCCTTGACATTTGTAAATTCATGATGTAAACAATAGATGGGTTAATGAATGTTTATGATTGTTGTATTGGATAGGTTAACGATTTTGATAACGAGCGGATTCAGGATTTAGCATCAACTTCAACAGTAGGCGTCCATTAGATTCGTGGCTTTGACGATGTGATTTTAATAGTAGGTGAAGGATATGCAAGTTGTGACAACTATGATCACGCCGACCAATCGGCATTTAGATTTTGGGAACGTACATTATTTCTTTCTTAACTACTTCGTGATTTCATCACTCCGTTCCTGGTAAACCCGATAATTGGCTTTTATGCCACATCATACTACCGCTATATCTAAGCAAGTTTTAACGTCAAGCATTAATAATTTTTATTTTCTCACGCATATTTAATATTTGCGCATACCAGATATTTATTCTTTAAGACCATATTCACGCTCTTTAATAGCGTTAGAAATTTATAATTCTCTTAATTTTCCTTTACGTTCCTCAATCATCAACATGCGCTCTTCATATTCTAATTTTTTCATCATCATCATACCAGACTCTTTGGATTCATTATTGCTATGGTGTTCTTGTGATATTTCATCAGTTAAATTGATTATTCGTTGTTTTTTATTTTGTCTTTTTGTTGAAGAATTAGCTTTAGATTGTCACTTTGCTATTTGTATAAATAAATATAATTTAATATTTAAAAAAAAATATAATAAATTCAAATTAAAAAATACTTACTACTTTGTTTAATTGGCAATTTTTTCATGCAATACCACTTTTATCTTGACCACTTAAATTAACATTGTAATTAGCTTTTATATTAATTCGTTTAAAATTGTGCATATCTATCTTTTGTCCTCTAAAAAAATTAAATAATATAATAAATATAATATTAAATATATATATATAGGGAATTAATATTTCCACCCCCCAAATTTGCTAATGCCACCCCTGCAGATTTAGCTTTTTTTTAAACTTTGAGCAAAGATATCTTGGTAACTACCAGGCCAAATTTGACAAACATTT